GATTATCTACTGATGGGCATTTGGGCTGCTTCCAAACACAGTTCACAGTTCAAATTTGTCCCACATCATAATTTATAACTAGAAGCATAGAATGAATTGGAGGAGTGGCTTTATTCGAAACTATAATGTCAAACTATCACTTTATATCATATACTTTGAATGTCTATTAAAAGGTATTACACTAAAAATAAAAGAATCAGATACTATTATGATTCTCAGTTGTACTTTCACAATTAAAATTACTGACCATGAAATTGTTTAATTTTCCAAAATATTCCAAAAGAATAATCAGGGGGAAAAAAGAATAAATAAAACTTTATAGGCAGGTTTCCTTGGCAACATGATGGAAGTAATTTCTGATTCCACAAAGTTTTACAACAAATATTAATTATATAAAACTGTGACATATGTGACATTTATAAAAATAGAATTTATAGGAAGCTCTAGGCATAAAGTGGAGCTCATTTCAAAAAATGTGATCTGAGAATATAAATATTTATTCTTTATTAGATTTATTTCTTTTGATGTAACTATATTTATATATATCTTTATGTAATTTTTTTGAAATTTCAGATAAAAAGTAAACATTAATTGGTTTTTATTTTTCAAGTCAAAAATTCTTTGGGCAGGAGGGTGGTAGGGGCAGTTTTTGCTGCATTAATTAGGTCCTAGGTTTCTAACTACAAACATTGCTAATGGATGAGGAAAATGTCTTCAAATGATTCTTAGCTGGAGAGTATATATATATTTATAAATTGTGACTATGTGTAAGTGCTTTGAGGATTCCCATAGCTAAACTTCACTGATACTAAAGTTACTTCGGAAATAAATTCCATATACTTTTCAAGTATTTCAGCTTCTTTTTTTTCCCACAAACCTAGATTAAGCTTAGATCAACAAACTGGTAAAAAGAAAATCTTTCACCCTTGGGTTCAAGCCATTATTCATTGGGAAATACTCATTGTGCAAAAGTGTTTCATAATTACATGAAGTTTTTGCAATCTACCAAGGCAGAACTGCCCAAGCTATATTACAACCTTATATTGAAACCCCTATTTCTGCTTACCTTGCTTATTTTCCTTATAATGTATTTTATATATTTTTTCAGGTGCTTTAATACTTTATCCATAGCCAATAAAAGTTTAATAGCAAAAATGAAATTGACTCTTCAAACAAACTATATCACCACAAAACAGTTTATAAAATATTGAAACTTCATTAAGAATTTACACCAGCCCTGGCTGGTGTAGCTCAGTGGATTGAGCATGGGCCTGCGGACCAGAGGATTGTGGTTCGGTTCTCAGTCAGGGCACATGCCTGGGTTGCAGGCCAGTCCCCAGCAGGGGACCCACGAGATGCAACCATACATTGATATTCTCTCCCTCTCTCCTTCCCTTCCCCTCTAAAGATAAATAAATAAAATCTTTAAAAAAAGAATTTACATTAAATTATATATAGACATGATAAATAGCAATCCCAGTTCAGTTATACCAAATTAAAAACACCTTTTGCTAAATGGAGTCATTACTAAGCACACAGGGCCTTAGGGACTTACAGTTCTACTTTATTGAACTGAACATTGTGGTATACATTGCAATGTGATTCTGGCTGCAATTTTGTATTGAAGTAGTATTATTAAAAGGCATCATTTCTGCAGTATTAGTGCACAGGGCAACAGCCTCGTACACCCTGATGGTATGTTGTTTCAGGTCCACCCAGTTGTGCAATGATAAACTTAAAGTTAATCATTGAAAATGTGGCCTTCAAATTCCGTACTGCTTTCCTAATCTAACCAACTTGTCTATGACATTTTAAAATCTAATACAAGTTAATTTACAACAAGGATTTTAAAATATGTCTATTTACAATTGAATCCCAAAAAGAATGTTTACAATTTTGTAAAGACCACCCTCAATTCATTTCACTGAATTTATAATATTCACTATAATGAATATTACTTTAAGAAGTATATATGTCATCTTTACATGCTAAATCTGCTCTAAGTAATAGAAGCTGGTTAAAACACTTTTTTATTTTATTTATTTTATTTTTTTAATTTAATTGTTGTTCAAGTACAGTTTTCTGTCTTTTACTCCCATCCCAGCCCACCCCCCCAGTGCTGCCCACCTCCCTCCCATTTCCACCCCCCTTAGTTGTTGTCCCTGTGTCCTTTATACTAGTTCCTATAAAACACTTTAAAAAATCTCTACTCTAATATAAAAGTTCAAGTACTCAAGGTCTGTGCAGAAAGTATCCAGCCATGTAATATGAAAAATAGAAACATTTACTGAAGAAGATACATGAAACATTGTACATGGGACAATAATGCCTCAGTCCTCCTTGAAGTAGGCTTTTGGGACCTCACACATTTTCCCAATTGCCATCAACTGCCTCATAGTATGTTTCTGAATCTCATCAATGGTCTGAAATCTCTTCCCTTTCTAAGGTGATTTTAATTTTGGGAAAAGCCAGAAGTCACAAGTTGCCAACTCTGGGCCATAGGGTGGCTGAGTCACCTGAGTGAATTGATGTTTCTCTAAAAAGCTCTACATAAGCTACAATGCATGAGCAGGCGTATTGCCATGATGAAGCTGCTGATCACCAGTTGCCCAGAGCTGCAGCCTTCTGAATCATCCAAATAGTTTCTGCAGAGAAATGTTTAAGTTAATAGAAAATTTGATGCAGATTCATTGCTCTACTCACTCAGTCATTTAGAAAGTGATGACCACACAGTATACATGATCACTCAACAGCATTTACCACCCCCACTGACTAGTACAGTGAAGTTGTTATTGTTTATGTATGCACATTGCAGTCCACTTTTCTTGGCTGCCAGGACAAATCAATGTTGCCCAAAGAGTTCTTGTTATATTAACAATGGCTGCACTTTCTCCAGACAGACCTCATATGTATTTTTCAAAATGTATGTTTAGCTCTGACTGGTGTGGCTCAGCGGATTAGGAACTGCCCTGTGAACCAAAAGGTTGCCAGTTCAATTCCCAGTCAGGGCACATGCCTGGGTTGCAGGCCAGGTTTCCCAGTTCTGGGTGTGTGAGAGGCAACTTTTCAATGTATCCCATGCACATTGATGTTTCGCTCTTTCACTTTCTCCCTCTCCTCCCCTTTCTCTAAAAAGTAAATAAATAAAATATTTTGAAAAAAGTACTATTACAACCTTAGAAAATATATATTGAAATGTTAATATTGTTGACCCAAACTCCCTGCTAATTCCAAGTTACTCATACAACTGTAAATATTTATTTCACAAAGATCCTATATCTTTGCCAAATCATCTGTTCCTGCTTGTATTTATGAAGCAGCTCCACGGTCTCAGCTGAGGGATGTGTGAAAGGGAAGCTGCAGGTCACCGTCACACAACACAGACCTGAACTAGGTAATGCTCTGGGAAATAGAGGAGGCAAGGGAGGAGACCCTGGGATTTGCATCTTCGGGGCTCGGCATCAGTTTCCATGTGGTCGGCAATACCAAAGAAATCAAATGTGATGCTCTGTTTGTAAAAGCAGAAATGTAACATTATTTGCTAAGATAACAGTTACTGGTGGAGGAATCATTTGGGGTCAAGTTAATGCAAGTATAGCACTCCAGTGAAGCTAGGCAGGAAGCAGTTGAAAATGAAGCTCTTAGGTTTACAAGTATAAAGGTCAGCTTGGGATACTGGAAGCAAATTTCTGAGAGCAGACTTTGTGTCTTTGGGCATTAGTTAGTAACTATTGTCAAACTGGCCAATTTGTTTTGCTGAACTGAGTGAAGGTTGTTTTGATAGTCTAACCCATTGTTTTCTTGCTTCAAAAAAGTTTGAATGTATGTTCACAATACAATGACCTGGCAGTCTGTAACAGTTGTAGAGACAGGAGACAACGTTGAAAAAGCACTCAGGGGAAAACTTACTGAGAATTTGGATCTCAGGTCAAGAGCTCCTTTTGCTAATGAAACCCAAATCTTTGGCACATCACAGTTGTTCAATAAATATTAACAGACCCCAGTGAGTAAAATTTCATGTCATCTTTGTAGAAGGCTCTCTGATTGCTCTTCCCAACATCCCAGTTGACATTTGTGTGAATTTTCCATATTCTACATCTACCCCTGCTCCACCCTCAGAAGCAGTAAGAGTAGTGACAAGAACGCCCATGTTTGCTGGGCTTGGACAGAGGAATTCGGGGTGTGGTGAGAAGAACACAGGCTTTGCATTGATTTTGCATCCTGGTGCTGCCTCAACAAGGTCTAGCAAGTTATTGATTTGTTTTTCACAGTCTCAGTTTGTTCAACTACAAATGGGAGAAATAACATGTGACCTTTAAAGAATGAAAGAAAGCACATTTAAAAAAGCACTTGGCAACTGTAAAGAAAATTTTGTGGCATTACTTGAAGAAGTTAGCATCTTTATAATGAAATAAAAATAGCTATAATGAAATCAATCCAGTGTAGAAAACCAAGGCCCAGAGGATTTTTAAAAATTAGTTAATATAGGACAATGTTATACTAAGTCTTAAAAAAGTAATCAGCTGTATAAATCTTGCAAGGGTAAAAAATCAGAAACAGGGGAATAATGAGGGCCATCTGTAATAGCATCAACAATACAAAGATCAGAAATAAAATGCAAGAGAAATGGGTACATTTATAAGTATCAAAATTTAGAAGTAGCCTCCGTAATGAAGACAAAATCACCATAAAAAGCCAGGTAAATTTGCCCTGAATAGAGCAGTTCAAATCTTTCCTGGATTTTTTTAAAAGATAAACCATGGGTTATCAATTGGTCTAGATCAAATTTCCTTGCTAGGAAGTCAGTCACTATTTTTGGGACATCATCTCTGCTTTTCCAACCTGTAAATAAACACATATTTTCTCTTTAGTCTTTATTACATAATATTTATGTGTATTATATTTGTATCTTCTCTCTTTCGCATTTTTACCTTTTCCCCATGTTGAACTCTTCTCAACATCACACAAATAGGCTATTCTTCCATTCTAAGAATCTATTCTCAATCACACACCAATAACCTGTTCTCCGAAAGGCAAAAAAAATAACCCATAAAAAAACCTTTCATGACCTCATATCTCCTTCTGGCTGCTCCAAATTTCTGTTGCATTTTTACGAGTGACTTCTTTATTTTAGAGAAAAAGATTATCTCTGGTTTGTTGCTTCCAGTTCCTCTGCCCACCCTGCCATTCCCACTTGTGCCCTCTGGGCATCTGCAGCTGCAACTCTCCTCAAGGTCACAGGGACAGGGGTGAGGCCCAGTGGGAGGCTGAAGCTTGTTCTCTTCCCACATTGTTATCTGGGGAACACAATGAGAGGCTACTTGGTACTTAGGTGGTTCTTTAGGGCTGGCTCCTTAGAGGTAAATGACTTGAACTGACACACAAACAATAAGAGATATAAGTTCAGACACCTCACTTTGACTATTTGTGTGATGTCGGGAGAGTACAAATTATCAGGATATTAAAAATAAAATGCAGTTATTCCGTGAATATCTATTGAGCGTACAGGCACCAGGCTGGGAATATAGCAAAGTAAAACATACCAGGCCCCTGCCAGCAGGAAGCATGGGGACCGTCTCACTTTACTGCAGAGACTGACATGAGCAACCCAATGCAGAGGACTTTGTCCAGGATGGCACGAGGAGAAAAATAGAGTAAGGGTCATGGGCCCTGCTGGAGGGACAGAACAGGTGGAGAGCAGGGAGGGGATGCTATTTTGTAAAGCTGAAGGAAGGCCAGCTGGATTAGATGACATTTGTACAAAAACATAAAGGAAATGAGCTAGGCAGGAATCTTGGGAAAGAACATTTTGGGGAGAGAGCAGAGTAAATGTGAAGGCATTGAGGTGGAGACTTGGCAAGTGAGAAGGGCACGGAGGCCAGAGTGGCTGGAGCAGAGTGAGAACAGGAGTAGCAGCTGGGGTCAGAGAGCCAGGTCATATGAGACTCTGGCCAGTGCATGTTTGGGGATTTTTTTCTGAACAGGAAAAGCAGCCATTAGAGGAGCAATTTTCAAACTTTTTCCTATCATGGCACACATAAACTAATTACTAAAATTCTGCAGCACACCCCGAAGTACCTATCTAAAAAATATATAGATATAATTTTGACAGATGTACAAGAAAAAAGTAATAATAGTAATTACCTACCCTTTTGCTCTAAAGTGACTTTTTAAAATATCAGCTCCTTGTACTCATATATAGGATTTCTGGTACCAAAAAAGACCTTCTAATCAGATGCAACCTTCTTATGCAGCATGTCCAATAAGAACCAATTCTGTTATATGACAGCTATTGTGTTGGTCATTGTCATTTTTCTGACAGTCTAAGGGAAAAGAAGTCAGTGCCTCTGACTACATAGTCAGGTATTGCATGTTTTAAAAATTCTTGCAGTACACCAGTGTGCCACACACACTGGTTGAAAATCATTGCATTAGAGAATTTTGAGAGAGGTATGACCTAATCTGACTTCTGAAACAGTCATACTCTAGTTGCTCTGTGGGGAATGTTCTATTTAGGGGACAAGGGCAAGTGCAGGAAGACCATTTAAGAAGTTACTATGACAAAGGAAGGAGCTGATGGGGACAAGTGATGGTGAGAAATGGTCAGGTCCTGGGTAAACTTTGAAGATAAGGCCAATGGGATTCACTGAACTATTCACTGCATGAGAGAAATAGTGCAATCCAAGGTTTGGGGCCTGATCAGTGGGAAAGATGGGGCCATCATTTACTGAGATGGGAACACTGGGGGAGGAGTAAGTTGGGGGCAGGGGTGGAGGTGGTGGCAGCAAGAGAGGTTTGGGACAGGTTAGGCTTTCACGTCTATCAACTATGCAAGTGGATATGTCAGGTGGGAAATTGGGTACATGAGTCTGTAGCTCAGGTGGAGGTCTAGGCAGAAGATATAAACTTACAGCCATGAGACCAGATGAGATTACCTTGCAAATACATGTAAGTAAGGAAAAGTTCTGAGGACTGAGCCCTAGGACACACAAAAGTTGTAGATCTGAAGATGTGGAGGCTCCAGCAAATATTCCTGGAAGCAGTGACAATCTAAGTGAAGCAAATAAATCCTATTTTTCATACATGTTCTTGCACATATTGAGAAAATGGACTTAATCAACATTCCTGTCCCCTAATATCATTCCCATAGAAAGATTGCTGATCCCTATCATTCAGGTCTTAGAGAAACTTGAGTTGCAAGTGCTACTATTAAAAATGTGCCCACCAATATTAGCCTTAACTCAAGGTGAGGAGGGATGGGCAATCATCTTTTGTGTCATTGTGGTCACAGTCTCGTGTTAGATCACTTCATACCAATCCTTGGAACAAAGAACTTTAAGGGGCATATGATGAGATAATAGGCTTCTCTCACTGTGATAGCAACAGTTAAAGCAGCCTTCCTGGGCCAGAGGCTCTGCCACACTACCTCCAAAATGCACCCCTTCCATGTATGTCCAGTGAGGAGCAGCATAGGGTCATAGGTGAGCATCTTGGCTGATGGAGGAGTGCCTACCACCACACTAGACCCATAGTTCATGTGGCAGGATGTGAGGACATCAACCTAAGTTTAAAATGAAAGAGGGTATTTGTTTCTTCTGTCTCATAATATCTCATGGGCTCATAAGTGCCTATATACTCTCACAGTTCTAGTAGTTAGTTCAAGATTCCAAGTCATGAGGCTAAATTAGGCCCACATGCTTTTTGTTTCAAAATTCTCAACATAACTCTGGCTGGTGTAGCTCAATTGATTGGAGTGTTGTTCTATAGACCAAAAGGTTGTAAGTTTGATTTCTAGTCAGGGCACATACCTGGGTTGTAGGTTCAATTCCCTGGTTGGGGGTGTGTACAGGAAAGCAACCACTCAATGTTTCTCTCTCTGTCTGTCTATCACTCTAAAAGCAATGAAAAAAAAAATGTCCTTGCGTGAGGATAAAAAATCTTAAAAAATAAAATTCTCAACACAATTCTAGTCTTAATTTAGTTTTTTATATATTTGTACTTTAAGGCAGACAGCAGAAATTCTTGTGGTCAGTGTTCATGGCATTTTTAGTGTGTCATGGATCAAAGCTCAGGGGAAATTTCTGTGAAATTTTCAGACAAATACCACTATTTCAGATAAGCCTTGGAAAATCATTTGATCTAAACTCAATGAGATTAACTATACTAAAACAATTAATTTAATTTTTAAGTTTAGTGTGAAAATTAAATAAAATACTAAAATGTGAAACAAGGGAGTCACTTTTTTTTTTGGTGGCATCTCTGAAACTAACCCTACATTTTCTTGTCATTCATCCATCTGGATTTTCATTAATACAACAAATACATTAATCATGTCATTTCATTCAATGTTGTTTCATTATACTGTTTTTAACATATTTTATTGATTATGCCATTAATTAGAGTTGTTTCCTTTCCCCCCTTCATTCCCCTCCACCCTGCACACTCCTCCCCCACTCATCCCCTTTAGTTCATCAACTGCCTCATAGTATGTTTATCCATGTGTCACAAGCTCTTTAGATTCTATATTTCCCATACTATTCTTGCCCTCCCCCTGTCTATTTTCTACCTACCGTCTATGCTACTTATTCTCTGTACCTTCTCCCCCATTCTCCTCCTCCTACTCCCCTCTTGATAACCCTCCTTGTAATCTCCATTTCTATGATCCTGCTCCTGATCTAGTTGTCCTCTTAGTTTGCTTTTGTTTTAGGTGTGGTTGTTAATAACTGTGAGTTTGCTGTCCTTTCACTGTTCATCTTTTTTATCTTCTTTTTCTTAGATAAGTCCCTTTAACATTTCATATAGTAAGGGCTTGGTGATGATGAACTCCTTAAAGTTGACCTTATCTGAGAAGCGCTTTATCTGCCCTTCCATTCTAAATGAAAGCTTTGCTGGATAGAGCAATTTTGGGTGTAGGTCCTTGCATTTCATGACTTGGAATACTTCTTTCCAGCCCCTGCTTGCCTGTAAGGTCTCTTTTGAGAAATCAGCTGACAGTCTGATGAGAACTCCTTTGTAGGTGGCTGTCCCCTTATCTCTTGCTGCTTCTAGGATTCTCTCCATTTTAATCTGGCTAATGTAATGATGATGTGCCTTGGTGTGTTCCTTCTTGTGTCCAACTTCTTTGGGACTCTCTGAGCTTCCTGGATTTCCTGGAAGTTTATTGCCTTTACCAGATTGGGGATATTCTCCTTTATTATTTGTTCAAATAAGTCTTCCACTTGTTGCTCTTCCTCTTCCCCTTCTGGTACCCCTATAATTAGGATGTTGGAACGTTTAAAGATGTCCTGGAGGTTCCTAAGCCTCTCCTCATTTATTTGAATTCTTGTTTCTTCATTCTTTTCTGGTTGGATGTTTCTTTCTTCCTTCTGGTCCACTCCATTAATTTTGAGTCCCAGTTTCCTTCCCATCACTATTGGTTCCCTATGCATTTTTCTTCATTTCACTTAGTGTGGCCTTCATTTTTTCATCTAATTTGCGACTATAATCAACCAGTTCTGTGAGCATCCTGATCACTAGTGTTTTGAACTGTGCATTTGATAGGTTGGTTATCTCTTTGTCACTTAGAAGTATTGACTCTGGGGCTTTGATTTGTTCTTCTTCTTGAGCCATTATGTTTTGGTCTATTTGCGCCAGTTACATATGAGGGGCAGAGGCTTAGTTGTTCACCAGGGCGGATCAATCTAGTCCCTGGGTTGTGACTGGGGGCAGATCGGAGAAGGAGAAATGGCATTTGTTCAGCTCTCTCTCAGATTTTGGTCCCCTCTGCCACTTCCCACAAGCAAATTGGGCTCTTGTGGTGCTGGTTCCCAGCTGGGTGGGCTTGTGTACATTCTAGGACCCTGTGGGTCTCTCCAACTCTCCTGTGAGGCTGGGAGTCTCTCCTGGCACCTCAACCCCTGAAAGTTTTTTCAATTGGTGCTTTTAGGCTTTATTTCCCCACACTGGGGCCCTGGGTTCGCAATCAGTCTCATGCTGGGTTGTTTTTTTTTTTTTGCCTCGTTTATCTGCATGGCAATGTGTGACCGTGTTCAGCCAGCCACCTTGTGCCCTCACTGGGTCTGCCTGTTGCCACCCACACCTGGGATCTGCCATCTGCTGCCTGCACACCTGGGTCGGTCCAGCAGCCACAGCTTTTCCCTGCCACCACCCCTCTCAGCTGGCAGCTGACTTCACCCCTCTTACTGGTCTGGATGAATGGCTTGTTGTTGTCGGACTTCCGTACAGTTCAATTTTCTGTCTGTTTTGGTTGTGTTTTTGTTTCTAAATCTTTGTTGTCCTTAAATTTGGTTGTGCAAGGAGGTACAGTATTTCTACCCATGTCTCCATCTTGGCCCTCATTATAATGTTGATAAGAAAAAAAATTGCTTCCTGGCCAGGGCCAATGTCTGTGCCTATGGACTTTGTATGTTCTCTCTGTGTCTGTGTGGATTTTTTCCAGGGACTCCGGTTTCCTCCCATGTCCCACAGATGTGCTTCTAAGGTGAATGGTGTGTATGCATTGTGCTCTGTGTATGTTTGTGAGTGCCCTCTATTGGAAGAACACCCTGACCAGGGTGTGACCCACCTTCTGCCAAGCTGCCAGGATGGACTATGGGCACCTGAGACCCTAAATTGGAATAAACCAATGGGAAAATAATTAGCTTATTTGTTTTTATTAATCTTTTTAAAATGTATTCACATTTCACATTTATTTCAGTGTTTAATATTATACATGTTTTGAGTCTTTATTTAGAATTTTGGTAATGTTTTCTGTTACCAGAAATATGCCATAATAACTTGACTCTTGATTATATCAATTAGCCTGCAATAACACTGGTTTTGTTATGTCTTTCCACTTGAAGTTGCAGTTTCCAGAACCTATACAGAACATTTAATGAGGACTTACTGTATTTTTTTTGACTAGTGGCTAGATTGTAGTAAGAGATGTTGAATTTTTCAGATATAAATATTCCTCAGTATATTACCTGTAAGTCAACAGGCACTAACAATATATCCAATATTGCATGTTGGCTCTGTAAACATACAACATAGAATACTATTTGCTGGTATAGAGTAATTGTAAGTGGCACTAGGAAAGGAGTATAATAGCAATGGTAAATTAAAGACTAATTATTCATAAATTACCAATGGTACTAAAGTGAATCAAATCTTCTACTCAGTCATGAGCAGGATTGGATTTTTTTCATTTTTTTTATTTTTTATTTTTAGAGAGAGGGGAAGAGAAGGAGCGAGTGAGAGAAACATTAATGTGTGGTTGCCTCTTGTGCACCCCCTTCTGGGAACCTGGACCACAACCCAGGAATATGCCCTGACTGGGAATCAAACCATCAACCCTTTGGTTTGCAGGCTCGCACTCAGTCCACTGAGCAACACCAGCCAGGGGAGCAGGATTGGTTTTGTCTCACATTTCCAAGTCTCCTTTCCCTCCCCAGGCTGGGGCTTCCTTATCCTGAAACTCTGCACCTGGTTCTACATGGAGGCTGGGGCTGCTGGCTGCCACAGTGGAGCCATGTTTGAGAAGTTGAAGGCTCCTGCTCCAAGGGAATTCAGACAAAATGAAACTCAGGTGTAAAGAGTGAGAAGTGGGCTCCATCACAGATTTGGGGGAAGAGACTGACAATTTGGAATAGTCTCTTTCCCCCTGGGTGTCCTTATTTCTCTTTGGGAAGTCACTTTGTGCTGTTTGGCTTGCTAAAGTATAACAGGTGGGATTGCCTTTGCCAATACATTCCCGTACACGCAGAAGGAACTGAACACACAAAAAAATTGTTTAGATAGTTGATTACTTTGAACGCCAATCACATTATACTGGTGTGATGGGACACTTTGGTCACTCAGACCTGCTCGCTCAGACCTGCTCATAGGCTTTTGATTTTTTTCAGCAAAAATGGCTTCATGATTACCAGTTTTCACCTAAGAGCTATTTCCACAGTTATTTGTTAATAAAGCTATGGAAAATGAGTTTTACCTGGTGTGATTAAATAGCTTGTGTATTGTGTGGCTCCCCTAATCTTGGTTCTTACCATTGTATCAAGACGCCCAATAACTTCAAAACTGAAGCTCACATTGTTGCCTGTCATTTCTGACAGCACCTCATTGATGAGCTTGGTAAAGTCCTTGGGGCTGATGCACTCCGTGGCCCCTACAGCCATGGCCTTCTCAAATTTGCCTTTGTTGAGGTCAATTCCAATGATCCTGGAAGCACCAGCTGACTTACAGCCTATGACGACTGAAAAGCCAACTCCTCTCAGGCCAAAGACAGCACAGGTGAGAACCTGGGATTACCTGTGGACAGAAAAGTGTTTCCTCCAACTCCTTACCTGAGACCTCTATTTGGATATCTCACAGGTATCTTAGGCTGAATATGTATAAAACTGAACTCTTAATTTTCTTATTGCCTGCCCCTCGAACATATTTGTGCTCACTCCAATTTTCTTCATTCATGACCTTCCCTCTCCATTACCTTGTATGCAAGCCAACAGGAAGTCCTGTTAACTTTACCTACAAGGTATATTTTAAATCTCTCCAGGTGCAAACTTCAGTTGTTTTCTCCTGGCGGTGTCCCATGGACAGAGCTTAACTCTCTCAGGAACAATGCATGACAACACATATTTGTCAACCAGGAACATTAACTCAAGTCTTGGTGTCAGGGTTTCTTTGGGGGGATGCAGGCATACAGCACTCCCATGACTGACCTCAACACTCAGACCCTGGCACCACCAGAAGTCAAGCTGATGGCTCAAAGCCCCAGGCTTCCATTCACCATAAACCACAGTGTTCACATAAACTGTCTGGCACAGCACAGGTTGCAGGCACACAAAGACTCTTGCATCAGGCAGGATGTTCTGAAGAGCCCAAAGCTATCTCCCAGGAGCCCATGAGGACCAGTCCTGAAGACCTCTGGAATGGTGACACAGACCATTATTAAAGAATACTAAGGGAATCATAACAGGGAAGAAAAGCAATAGCAAAGGGTAAGAAAATATTTTTAAATAATATATGTTTAACACTTATTTTAGACTGTGGCTTTCTTTGCTAATAATGATATGGAAAATTTACTATAGATATTAATTTCTAGTTCCTATTCCTTAGAACAGGAAGGTGGATAAAAGAAGAAAATTTGTTGGTTTGTTGCTGTTGTTGGTTTTGATTATTGGTATTTTGATTTTTGCTGTTGCTGGGTTAGCAGAGACTAGCGCCATGATCCACTCAAAGGCTCAGAGGTAGGGTGACAGGAGGGTTAAGAAACTATCACTTTTCAGAGGGGAGCCTGGGATATAAGGAGAGGTACAGTTCCTTAATGATTAAAAATATCACACTTCATAGCCACCACCGTTTGGGGCTTACTAGAGATTAAATAAAGAAGTATTGTAGTGCATAAAGGAGACGTGTTGTGTAGGTTCCTGGAGATTATTGTCTAATGAGTAACACTAAAGACGTGAAACTTTGAGAGTTGGGACACATACTATTAATAAGGCAGTCATGTTTCCTTGAAAAATGGAAGAAGTTCCTATTTAGATGCAGTGGACAGAAAAACAAGAATTTCTCTGAGCATGGAGGTGACTTCAAACTGAGAGTGATGTTAAGGAACCAACCACAGGAGTGCTCAGGAGATAAGTGCCTCAGAGAGTAAGACTTGCATGTATAGAGGTCTTCATGCAGAAGCAGCTCAGCAGGCTTGTAAATGCTAAAAGAGGCAAGTCAGGCTGGCTTACATGATATTGTTCCAAGTGTGAAAACTACTGAAGGATTTCTGGGAAAAAACTAACATGGTCTGGTTTATGCATTATGAAATTACTTTGGCTTGTAAGTGGAGAATTATTGGAGATGGTCAAGATGAGTAATGAGGACAGCAGAAGAAAGTCCGTAACATCTGCTTAGTCAAGAGACTTATGTCCCCACTCCGAAATTCATATGTTGAAGTCTTAATCCCTAGTACCTCAGGACATGATCTTATTTGGACATAGGGTTTCTGCATAGGTAATCAAGTTAAAATAAAGTGATTAGGGTGGACCCTAATCCAGTATTACTGGTGTCCTTATAAAAAGAGGAATTTAGACACAAAGACTGACATACATGGAAGATGATATGAAGGGACATAATGAGAAGACGGCCAAGGAGAGCTGTCTGGAATAGACCCTTCACTCACAGACCTGAGAAATCCAGTCCTGCCAGCAACTTGATTCTAGTCTCCAGAATGTGAGAAAATAAATTTTTGTTTAAACCGCTCAACACAGTCTTAAACTCACAGAAGATTCTGAGCCTAATACTAAGCATCGTGTATGATCCTTCACATCAAGGGGTTTACAACAATGCTGCCTCTGGCCCTACTTTGAATCTAAGTGCCTTTGTAAAGTAAACTGGTGTTGTTATGATGAAAACAGAATGCATATTTACCATGCAGCCAACACAAAACTAGACTTGTAGAGCCAGGCCCTCCTAAAACTCTGTTAATGAAAGGTAGAGGGAATGGCATGCACAAAGGTAGGTGCAAAGCAAAATCTGTTAACTATAGCACACAGGTAACAGGAGAAGATCAAAGAAGGACTGGTAGCAACACCTACCAGTGGTTAGGCTCGTTCAATAAGTTGGTAAACAAACTAGTGGTTAGGCTATATCTAAAGGATTCAGAGAAGCACTCCAGGAAGCTGTCATTCTCCAGGCACAGATGAGTTTCTCATTTTGGGGGAAAAGTAATCTCAATACTATCTGACTTCTAGAATATTTTTAAAAAGTTATTAGTCATGATTACTAACATTTTTTTAAATCAGAAGCATGTCAACAAACAATAGTTTTAATAGAGCAGATTAGTAGTTTTTAATGAATAAAGTCATAAATTTAATATCCAGTGTGACAAGATCCTTAAGAATAAACAAGAACCAGTAACAGAATTAATATACAAAAGTCAGGAAGTATCTCTTTATTTAAGAATCCATCCTCACAATGATGATATACTCAATATAGGTGTGCTAAACACGTTAGGCTTGTGTAATCTAAGGCTCATTACCTTAACACAAACTTCTTTACCCTTTGGTGAGGCAACTTCTATTTCCTCAATGGAAAGGGGATTATTCAGCTCCCATTACACAGCTGCCTTGCATTTAATAACCTAAGAAATTGATGAGAGTTATAATGAGTTGTAAGTATGTCTTCACAAATACAGATTCCACAAATAATAAAAATATGGACAATTTGACATTCTAATTTGACCAGGATGATTTTCACTGAAGACTAGAATTGTAATCCTTAGAGATCATCTTGTGTGCAACCATGTTTGATATATGAGAAATGTGGCCCAAATGATCGATCCATGGCCACGTGGCACCTGAGAAGCAGAGCTGGACTAGACCTGAGCCACAGCCTTTTGCCTTTTTTGCTTGTGGTCACATAATATTTCACTAAATTAGGTTTTTGTACTATTGTTTCAAATTAACATAACTATCATCTTTGTATCATTTATCCACAAGGGCAAATTTATACAACCAAAGATGCTGCTGATTTTTCTGCAAGAATGTAAGCCAATATTTAAGTGCTATATAACATGTAGCAAAGGGGAGGGAATTAAAAATTAGCATGGTAAAGATGAAGGGAACCTTGAATGTCATGAAGTGTAATAGACTGGGAGTACCTAGATGACTCAGTCTGGGTTTTGCATTTCTGTATCCTTATTTTTTTTCACCTAGCCCAGTTTTTGCATCTCGTTAGGTCTTAAGAGTTAGGCAGGTTAAAACTTCTCATGTTACAGAAGAAGAAATTAAGTTATGGAGATACTCAGAAACTAGCCTTCAGTGGTTTTGCTGAGACTGTCATATTCTGAGCAGCGGAGCGGGTCGGGCAAAAAAGATCCCTTGACCCAGAGATACTCTGGGAGAGATATCTCTGAGAAAGATACTCTTCCTGTCTTTTCATGTGCAAATCTGTCAAGGAGTCCTATAAAATATTGTAAATAATTTGTTCAGACACAAAATGAGTTATCCCTTATCTTACTTGTCAACTAAAGTAATATTCTAGCAGAGCCCCTGTAGATGGTTGTGTGGCTCTTTTACAAAGAGATTAATATGAAAACTCATATGCTATAAACAGATGGATGGTTGAAAGCCATCTATGACTCAAGCCACTAATATTTGCCCTCAGTCTTTCTCAGGAAAACGTGATGGGTCAGAATGTACTGTAGTCCATTGTTGAAATTAGAATCGCACACTACAATTCCACACAAATTCCAACTACATAAAGAGTTGAGGTTTAGTTTTTTTAAAAATTGTATTTATTTACCGTTAGAGCTAGGTGAAGGGAAGGAGAAAAAGGGGGAGAGAACCATCAATGTGTGAGAAATACATCAATCGATTGCCTCTCACATGCCCCCTGATGGGGACCTAGTCTACATCCCAGGCGTGTGCCCTGACTAAGAATCAAACCTGTGACCTTTTGTTTCACAGGCCAGCGTTCAATCCACTGAGCAACACCAGCCAGGGCAAAATTTACTTTTTAAATAAACTATTTTATCAATCAATAAAGGTTTAAATATCAAATATATGGAACATGTAGGAAGTTTTATGCTAAGAATAATAAGTCATAAAGAAATCTAAAAATGAAAATTTTGTGTATTGAGAAACAGTAACTAAATCTTCCAAATTTAACTAATTTAAGCCAGAGTCTGAAGGAAAAAGGCTTACTGAAAAATGACAAAAGTAGGACTTCTGCCAAGATGGAGGCATAGGTGGAAACATTGTGCCTTCTCGCACAACCAAGTCTAAAAACAACAAAGTTTTAGCAAAAAAAAATGCAGCCAAACTGCAGAAAATTGAACAATACGGGAGTCCGACAATAACGAACCCTTCAGCCAGACTGGTAAGAGGGGCAGAGCCAGCAGCGGAGCCCGTCTGGCAAAAAAGATCCCCTGACCCAGATGTGCAGGCAGCAAAGGGCAGATCCCAGATGTGGGGTAGTGAGGGGAGGACCCAGTGAAGGGGTAAGGCAGGCAGGCTGACTGCAGTCACACATTTGCGCACAGATAAACCAGCAAAGGAGCAAGCAGTGAGACACACCAGGCAGGCCCCAGAAGCGGGAAGCAGCAGAGGGGACCACTATTGCTCCCTCTCTGACCCTGCTCCCACATATAGCTTCACCAACCAGCGACCTGGGTGGCCTGTCCTGGTGAACACTTAAGGCTCCACTCCTCATACGTAACAGGCACAAACAGATCAAAACATGGCTCAAGAAGAACTCAGAGCCCCAAAGCCAAAAAATCTAAGTGAACAAGAAATTGCCAACTTACCAGAGG